GAGTAAATGGCTCAATTTTGGCACAATTTTCGATAGGACTCGTTGGTCTAATTTGGAAGGTCAAAGTTGATCCGTGTTCTCCTTCGTGAGAGCATCAAAACCATATATTTACTTACCAAAAATAAAGCTCCGATGAATGAGAAAGTGGAGCTCAAAGTTGACAATTGAAAGATGATTTATGTGAGAAAATAACATGTCCTACATAGAAAAAAGAAGAAATCATTAACCAGTTTTTATATGGCTACACATTGGAAGGGTGTAATCATGTGTAGCATAGAGGCTCTTTCCACATGCGTGCACGGGTGCAAATCACGGATCAAAATAGCCTTCATACCTTGAATTTGTGTGCGGGCACGACCTACGTATATGAATGTCGGACCGAACAGAGTAAAAATTGGCACATTTGGAGTGTCCACGTTTTGTAATTTTTTTTTCCTTTTTCCATCTGACTTTTGAGTTTCTGAAACTTCCAAAACTCCCAAAAAAGTGACTCCAATCTTTATTGTCATAGAGTTAATGACAGATTTATATTATATTAAATCTCATTTTTTCCAGCAATTGACACATAAGAAAATCCCTCTGTTTGCATCTGTTTCACACCAGAAAACACACGAAATTTCACTGTTCACGTATTATTCTGTCTGCATGATATTGTTCGGATACAAATCAGTTCATCGGAGTAAGTATCTGTGGTGCTTAAATCCTATTGGTTTTAACGTTGTATCTTGGAAAACAGATTTTCGGATTAAATCTCAAATACTTACGTTGAGGGGGCGAATCTGTTTTAAGGAAACTGCGCTCGCACATGTTTCAGGTTAAAAGTTCATCCATTATTCAATATTTCAGCAATTTATTCGTGTGCTTCATATAATTTGCAGTTTTATTATGTTATCGTTCTTTTTATATTTATTAAAATTAATCTGCGTTAATTTCTAGTTATGTTAAAAATACAAATCTGAAAAAAAATTACTGTAATTTCGGTATGTGTAAGTGCAAATACAATATATATGAAAAAGGTAAATAAAATATGTGCAAATACGGTCAAATGTATATACGGTAAGATACAAATACGATAAGTTGTTTTTAAATACGGTAAGCTGCATATATGATATATTGCATACACAGTATGCTTAAATTCGGTATCTAGACTACATATATGGTATGCGCTAATCCGGTTTCATCCACTACTTCCAACATAAATGATATGTTTGAAAAAAAAAAAAATCCCATCCATTATCTCTCGTTTTCTGGAGTCATTCTTTATATATCTTCACTAACCTCGTGGCATTGACATAATCTTGAACTTTTTTTTTGCAATTATTTCGACAAGGAACAAAATGAGAATTACTTGATAAAAATAACAAACCTAGATATTGGGAGAAGAATGAATTTGAGGCATAAAGTGGCAGGCTAAAACTTCTGCAACTGGAAAAAATATATAGAACTTCAGAAATTTTGTGGGATCAATTGATCCCACAAGACCCATGTAAATTGGCCTATGGTGGTGGCAATGTCGAATTTAAAGCTCCACCTTGACGATGATCAGAGCTACCCGTCTGAGAAGCTACGTATTCAAGTGCTGTAACAATATCACTGATGGCAGGGCGAAAACTTGGTTGTTCCTGAAGACACATTGCAGTGATTGCTACTGCATGATGCAGATTTTGGATGGAGAATTGCCTCTCTAACAGCGGGTCTGCCATCTGGACAAACTTCTTGTGGCCTTTTAGAAAAGGAAGGAGCTGCAAGAAAAAATATTCATGTTTAGAATCAAAGCCATATCACTTGAAGATGGACGATTATGTGGTCCGGACATCTATCACATTTCTAGTAGAACAGTCTCTTGGAAAAATAAAAATATGAAGTCATCTAAACTAAGTTATCTGAGATCAGTTAGTGCTACCTCTCCTCCCTCATCAGAAGTGGTAAAATTCGCATGTTTAGTTAACCTGACTTCCTTCGTTACAGAGAAGAAAAGTTAAATCCAAATGATATGGCTCCAAGAGGGCTTCTTGGCATTTTTGCTTAGCTGCCTAATAGGATTAATGGATGGCCCGCGTGGCAATCCGTGATTGGCCTTTCACCAGGATTCTGCTTGTTTGAGTCTTGTTTGGACCGTTGGATTAAACCAAAAGCTGAGATTTATTGTTGAGTCTAATATAGCCATTGGCCTCTGGTTTTGACAGACTAGTTGATTTACTTTGGGTTAGATGGACGTTTGGTTCTCTAGTTCTCTCTGACCTATCTCCATAATCTTCTTCACATTCCTTCTAATTTTGTACCTTCTTGAGATCTAACCTAGATTCGATCCTTTTAAATTGCTCGTACTATTAGAATCAAGAATTCAAGAAGTTCTTGTAAGTCCAACGATATCTCATATGGAGTTCAAGGATAAAACTAAGTTGCATAGACACAAACACGCCGACATAAGATTTTTGGAGGAAGAAAAGAAGATATGGACGTGTCATGGACATGTTAATTTAAATTCTTTGAAATTTTTAATTCATATATTATATCTTGATTTTTGTAATTATATCTTTAGTACCAGCAATTCTAAAAATATGTATAAAAAAATAGGGACAAGGACACGTGGCTTGTTGGATACATGTGCTTGAGTGTCTGTATCCAACACAACAATATACAAGACGTGTCAAACGAAGACACATTGTTTTAGCAGTAGTGTCCATGCATCATAGAAATAAAATAACACATATAGCAGGATATGCTGCTTAAACTATGTTTAAAGAATCAATCATATGGAGTTTTTATGTTAAAGAATATAAACTCACCCACTCAATCAGATTCTTCTCTCCTGGCTTTCTGGTGCGGTCGATAACCCTACGTCCAGTAATCAGTTCCAACAGAACCACACCAAAGCTATAAATGTCTGAATTTAGAGTTAGTCTGCCACTCAAGGCATATTCAGGGGCACAGTATCCGTAAGTTCCCACCACTCGTGTCGAAATATGAGTGTTCTCACCAACAGGTCCTAGTTTAGCAATACCAAAATCCGAAAGCCTGGCATTGAAGTCATTGTCCAATAGTATGTTCGAAGATTTCAGATCACGATAAATGACTGGTGGATTTGCTTTGCAGTGAAGATATTCAAGGCCATGAGCTACATCTAAAGCAATCTTCAGCCTCGTGCTCCAACTCATTGGTTTCTGACCAGGCTCTAAATCTGAGTCGGGCCCAAGTTTTGGTAAGATTAGAGTAAGAGAATTCAGACTCTAAAAGGGATGCATAAAGTAATCAAGAATTACCAAAAAGATGATAATCCAGGCTCCCCAGTGGCATGTACTCGTACACCAAAAATCTCTGATCTTCATGTGCACAATAACCAATCAAGTTAACGAGGTTGGGATGGTGCAGCAAGCTTAACATAAATACCTCCACGACAAATTCTTGATTTCCCTGAAGGCCTTCGAGATTAAGTTGTTTGACAGCAACAACCTATCGTGAAAATCAGATGATCAGCACTAGCCGAAGAGTAATCACATCAGTGTAAGATAAGATAAATTCCAAACAACAAACATGGAATTTTCATCATTTTGAATGCATAGTAAAACAGAACTTGCCATGTCAGAGTCTAGGCAGCCCTTGTAAACACTTCCAAAACCTCCTTCCCCGATTAAATTAGATTCTCTAAAATTTTGGGTCGCCATTGCAAGTTCTTCAAATGTGAAGGTCCGTGCCATGTTGATCATTTGGCTATTGTTATCGACATCTCTCGCTACTGCAGAATTCCTCATTGTCGTATTCTCTACACAAATCGATTCAACAAAGATTCAAAATTCCACATTACATTTTCTTCATATGTCTAGTGGCATACTTCAGTTGAGCTAAGGTGAACATTTTCTAGTTTGAAGTAATGATTTTACCGCTTGGAGGAACACCCTGATGGTCCCTGCCTCCGACGCTTACTTCTCCACCACGATTTGGATCAGCCGCTGAAAGCCTACTGTCTTCATGAATGTTGCTGTTGCTGTTGCTGTTGCTGTTCTTGATCAACTTTGCATCATTATGAACTGAAAAAAAAAAAAAAATCGAAAAAAGTCATTAATATTTCTTGGACTAATTATATATTAATGTGTTGTATAGTCTAGCTAGATTGCACGAAAGCAATAATGAAATTACTCTCTTGAATCCAAAACATTTCAAATTTGATCGAGTTTCTAAAATGCATCGGTTTCTCTAGCATTTTAGAAGTTTTTGAAGTCGATCATACCTGGACTAGAAGATGTGGTGGTGGGATGATTATCTACAGGCTTAGGCCAGCAGGTTCCCATCTCTCTCTATCTCTCGCTATATCTATCTATCTATGTATCTTTTTAGGTGGTGAGGTACAAACGAATCTACTGGGAGGCGTCACTATATATCGTGTGAGAATTTTGCAGCAAGAATTTATTTTTCATTGACTTCGTCACCTCTTCAGCCACTTCCCGGCAGTTTCTTCCTTTTTCGGTGCAAATGAAATCTTTACTTTCTGTTGGGAAAATTGGAAATTTGTGTGTAGATATAATAATATTTAAGACAACTATTTTAAACATAAACATATAAATAAAATAATTCAATAAGAATACAAACATAAGAGGAAATTTAGAAATTGTAAGTTTTGGGAGTCACGTCGAGAACGTTATCCTAAAGTCGTGTCGTCTTCCTTTTGTGTGGGTTCTTTCAGCACTACACGGCTCCAAGATAAAATCCATATGGCTCTCCTTCTATGAGCACGACCATAGGGAGATAATTGAACGAGCATTTCATCAAGTTGCCACAAACTATAGAAATATAGGCCATGTTTAGTCCCCTTTAAAACTCTTTAATTTAATTTTTTCTCTCTTCTACTTTCAACCACACAACTTTCAATAAAATAATATTATACTCAAATCGAAAACTTTTCAACCATATAATCTTCAAAAAAAACATTATTCTCCCTATTATAAATTCAAATAATGGGGGTCAAAAGGAGGCATAGTATAAAATGATTAGAGAGTAGTATGAAAACACTAGAGAGTATCTTTTGTGTTTGATCTGTTTATGAGTGTCAAAGAATGTGAAATTCACCCCTTTTTATGGTAGAAAATTCAACCCCCCACATTTATATCATTAAAACATAAGTTATAATATGTATTATGGTATTTTAATTTTATGTTAAAACTCGAAATTAAAAGGTTGAAATTTTTATTCTTAAATTACAACCTAACTTATGCGATTTAATTTTGTATTAAAAGTTAATATTGAAATCAAAATGAAAATTAATATTTATTGTGAAAGTTTAAAACTTTAAAATATGTTCCAACACTTTCTTTGACTCTACGTATGCATTTGTATAGAACTAGATAAAAACTTCTCACCGTTACGTGGCAAGAGAACCTTAGTTATGGTTCTTTGAATCAACATCAATGATAAGAAGTTTTTATCTCTATATATTTGTAATATGGGTTTCTCGCCTCAGCATTAATTCTTTATTTCTTTATTTATCATCAATCAATGTCACCTCCATTTATTGAAAGTAAAGTTCGATCCATGCAAATCTTAGCCCTTGTTTGAACACATTTTTTTCCAACAAAATACATTTTTCAACAGTGATTTAACCTACTTTAACTACACATTTTCAATAAAATAATATTACACCCAAATCTATGACTTTATTTTTTAACTGCACATTTCTCATCAATACACTATTCAAAAATACTTTATTTTTTTTTTCTTTCTCTCTCTCTCTCACAAGAATGAGGCTCAGACAAGGACTTAATAAGTTCAATTTAAGGCACATTTTGTGAAAATTGCATTTGTTAAATAACTCAATTCAACGTGTGAACACTAATGTGAATTGGATACAAATACTTGAAAAATGATATAGTCGACGGCTGTTTCACCATTTCCAATCACTTCACTTGGAAATTGATCAATAAAATTAGGACCAAACGGTGGGTGCGTGGATCGTAACCTTGTTCTTATATCAACTGCCACGTCCCATCCTGAATCATTTTAGTGGACCGAAAATATGATGTGCACCAATAATAAATACCGTCGAAGTGTCGAATGAATTCTAGTCATTCTTGGGGGGGGGGGGACGGTTGGCCAAATATTTATTTTAATGAATTTTCAGTACAATTTTCTTATCATTGGACTTGCTTCGATGATGGACATTTCCACCAATGACACAAAGTTATATCCTATTGAATATCAAAATTCATTGACGTCAAATTAAAAGGTCAACATTATTAAGAAGGCTTTAGAAGTCACGTTACCGTGGTGAGTAACAAGTTATCATCAAATTAAAAGATCAACTTTGATTAAATGAGCAATTCAATGTCTTATACATCCACAATAAGTCCATATTCAATCAGGGTTTATTACTTAAACATATCCAATCAAGATAATGTCTAGTTTGAGAATATAAATCTTCAAATTTAATTGCTCGTTTCAGCTTAATGGACTCTAAAATACTTAAGAATTGAAAATTAATATTGTTAAGAGGAGTAGATCAAATGTTTATAAGTAAACGATTTACTTATCGTGTAACAAATTTTAAGTTTATCCCTCAATCGTCAAAGTTATCTTAGCAGCTAGGAATGCCCCTTAAGGCATAGCTCAATTGTGCAAAGAATAAGAGTGATGTTATCTCACGCCTTGCTGGCAGTCGTAGTGTGGGAATTCGATTTCTAAGACGTAGAATTGGACTCCTTGTAGGCGTAGTATACATGCAGTTCTTGTTCCATGGTCTGTTGGGACACATCCCACGATTTACCTCCCTCACAAAACTCTAAGGATGGAGCGATAGGGACCCTCAATTTTGGGGTTCAACCTTTTTATCTTAGCAGCTAGGAAGAAAAGTAGGAATTGATGAGGAAGAAGCATTAGTCAAAAAAATTAGAACCTTTATGTAAGTTTCACAAAGACAAAAAAGGAACGCGGGATTGTAAGAATTCTCTTCAATCATGACTAATTAAAGTAATCAATACTAAAAACCACTTATTTTTAACGTATATACAAATTAAGAAGCTTCTAGAAGTTCTAGAAATTATTCAACGACTGTCGGTGTTAATTCTTTTGCAAATTTTCCTTCTCACCAAGGCCCTTTTGTTGTTTACAGCCTGTATGATGATATTTATCTGGGTCAGTTTTGGATATTCACACCCGTCATATCAACGGTCTACAATCAATTAAGATTTCATCTGCACAACATCAGGAAGTGTTAAGAGAAATTTCAGTGGGGTGGTCACACTGCCATGATATCAACGGTCCACAATCAATTAAGATTCCATCTGCACAACATTAGGAAGTGTTGAGAGAAATTTCAGTGGGGTGGTCACACCGCGGAAGTGTTGAGAGAAATTTCAGTGGGGCAGTCACACCACATGGCGGTGTGACCACCCTATCAGGGTGCACCACCTCGGCGGGGGCACACACCCTATCTAAATGTTGTTCTTTGAAAATTTTCAAATTAAAAATGTCACTTTTTAATTTAAAAGTAACACAACATGTTACACTATATTTAAGAACGTTCGTTAGCATCCAATCCAATAAAAAAAATAAACATAACAGCTAAATAATAGTCAAGAAAGTTCTTATAAGCGAATTGTAAGCTTAGCAAAGATTATGTGAAAAAAGTCAAATTACATAGTTAGTGACATTTTTAATTAAAAAGTGACATATGTTATCACTTTCTTTTCATGAAACCTTAATTCACATTAACACAAATAAGAAATAAAACTTACATCTAAATATTAATTCAAGAAATTCTTTATAAGCAAATTAAAAGATTACCGAAATATGGTATATTGTTCTATTACAAATTGATCTCGTGTGACCTTTGAATCAAAAAGGAGTAACGTTTCACTTTCTAAACCAGCACAATAATCTTTAGAATATATAAAATCTCAACAAAGAGGTAAACATCGAACTCGAAAATTTAACTAACATAGAACGTAACGTCATTTTAGAAATTCAACAACCTATGAGTTGGAAGTGACATAAATTCAAAAAAGTGACAATTTTACGTTGGTGTCAATAATTCAAGAGTTCTTATCGAAAATTTGTGTTGAGATAAAAATAAAATAAATGAATATTGACAGTAAAACATGTGTTGTTCACTTTCGGTGCTGCAAAATCTATTTAGGAAGGCTGCCTCATTATGCAAACGTTAAACACGGATCCTTCAAGCAGCCCATGAAATTCTGAACAAACATTACACTCGAAGTTTCAGCAAGGAATTGAACTATATCGATTCCTGTTTAGTACTTGTATTTAAATCTTACCCTTTTTTTTTTGGTTGGATATGATTAAGTGACATACTCACAGAGTCACAAGCATTTATATTAAATTTAGTTACATGTTTATAAATGTTTTCAAAAGACGAGAAATTACAAGATTAACTTAATAGATATGATACCAAGTGTATAGTTTTAACGATTGTGTTACATGTACATAATAGGTTTATATATACATGTTGTGATGAAATATGATTAGGTCAGAATTTCTTCAACCAAATTATATATATATGGTGTGTTGTCGCAGGCAATTAAGAATAAAACATATACTCCTAAAAATATATGTAGTAGTGCGAGTAAGGATCGTTCCCAAGGAGAGTGGCTAGTCTAATTCTATACTACGTAAACAATGATGGGAGTTTTGATTATAAGGCAACCAATTTAAAGAAAAAAAAAACTAATGAACAATGCAAATTAACGAATTGAAATAAATCAAAAGAGCAAACCTTGATCTAAGTTAACATCCTTCGTCGAAATTTCACAACTGATCGTTGATCCACGTATAAATATCAATCCATATTTTCAGCATTCATCTTTGGAATTATTTTTCCATCTCTCCTTAATTTTAATTAATTAGAAAACAAGTGATCCAATTAACTCCAATTACTAAACAACCTAAGACAAGCGCTAAGGTCTAATCTAATAACATCCTTAAGAATTTGATAGATCGATGAAACTAAATAATACATACACAAGTGGTTGTATTTAATCTAGTCAAACGTTCATTCCAAGATTTAACAATTTCTTACGCAACAAACTATTAAATCCTAGTTGCTTCACAAGTTAAATGGATCAAACAATTATAGATTTGATATTTAACCAAGCAATAGATTGAAGCAAACAATAAACTAATAGGCCTTCTAGTAATTAAACACAACAATTATGAAAATACGTATAGAAAAAACATTTAATTCTCAAAACATAAATTAAACAATGAAAATAATTTAGATCTCACAATTTAATAGATTCCGAGACTTCAATTTCCTTCGACCAAGTACAAAAGTTTAGCTACA